GAGTACATAGGCTTGATATCCAGTTGAAGTAGACAACCTCAATCCTGTTTTATTGTACCACTACAAATACCTTGAAGTGCATTTGCTTCATGAAACTCCTCTTTAGCGATACCAAACATGGCAAAGCTTGATTCTTTTAGGGAGGATGGATCACACAAGTCTTTTACTAAAGGATTCCCGCTTTCCTTAAGTATAGACTTCTTCAGAAAATCAAAGATAGCTGCCACTTATCCTTGACCTCCAAGCTGAGCAAGGTCATATGCTCCTATGCATTTAGATCAGAAACAAACTGACCTAAGCAGTGCTATCACCAACACCATCTTCTAGACAAGTTTCTTGCCATGAAACTTTCTAGCTAATAGATCAGGTGCTTCTAGTAGAAACTAGAACACAACTGCTGCACTCCAATACTCTTATAGAGCATATTGTCTTCATCTTCATTCCCATCAGCACTCCATTCCAGCCTTAGTTTCTTGCCAAGAACCTTACTAGAATGAATACAGATCCAACTATATCTTCTTTGATCTATGGATCAACAGAATTCTGAACCATCTCTGCTGATTGAATGTCTCAACATCTGGTTGGGCATCAGATTCTTGAAGTAGACTAAACAAATCAGGGGCCTTCTGCTTGTGCTGCTCCTGATGAGACATCTTGATCATCAACTAAGGATAATCCATTAAATATTTGAGAATATCTGAAATAGCAATGAATCTTAAATCCTTGTAACATATCCTTCTCTGAACTTTATGGAAAACCAAGGCTGACATCCTTGACTTAACCTGCATATGTCTTCTTCTGCTGATAGAATCCTTGCAAGTCACGAGTGGTGAAAATAAATCACCTCCCACTATCTTCTCCACATAGCTTCCAGCAAACAACAGAACAACCCAGGCATACACCCAAACACAGCTGCAAGCACCATCTATCAATCATCTACACAGCTGCCACAACCATGCATCAGACTGAATATAGGCCAATCTTCTCCCAGGGCTACCAGAGTTCTTTCATCAGAAAATTATGCAGCGGAACCACCAAAAGAACTTCTTATACATGCCCTTATAGGACATCATACATAAGTAGCCCCTCCTTCACAATCACTAGGTCATAGAAGCTCCTATATCAGAGGGCACAGCAGCAGATACAAGCTTCTTTTTAGCTCCATAAGCAGTATCTCAACCATTCAGCAACTCAGCTATAGCTTCTCCTTGTTCAAAACCCCAGAAAGTATCTCCCAAGATCTCATCCAGAACAGACAGGATGCCTGCTCTGATACCAATTGAAATTCTGGTATGCAGATCACATGTGTTCCAAGAACATTGATCTCTGCTCAACAAGCACGAGGACAGATCATGACCAATTTAAATTTCTTTAAATTGTCCCAATGTCATGACCAATGTCACAACTTCTGTTGTAACATCTGCAGTCTGTCATACTATTTATCTAACCATTTAACTTACAGAATTGTAAATGCAGAAAGATAAATAACACAGTAATTGTTCACCCAGTTTGGTATCAACAACACCTACATCTGAGGGCTACCAAGCCAGGGAGGAAATTTACTATTAGTAGAATCAATTCAAAGTCAAACCTCCAATTTGCACTTCTCACTTAATCTCTACCCAATGACACTTCAGCCTAGAGACACTCTAGTACCTGAGTATACCCACTCACTCCCCTTCAATCACTCAACAGTGATATCAAACAATTACAAAAACAGTATGAAGAGACACTTCATACACACCTTGATCTTGCTTCACAACTTTGATCAAGGAACTCACACACTCTTGCTTCACAGCTTCGAGTGAGACACAGCCTAGAATCTACCTAACCAAAACAATCATCCACCAAATAATTGCTTGGATTACAAGTATTCCTAAACAGACTTTGCACGTGAAAAACAACCCTCTTCACTTACAATTATGTCTACCACAATGCATCATACAATGAAAAGGGTGACTTACACACAAGGGACTCTCAACCCTAGACCTCTATTTTACACTCTGATTTTTCTTGATGTGAGTGCTTGCTTTTCTTCTGCTTCTGCTCCTCTTTTTATAGTCGTGCAGACTGGGCTTGGGCTGTGCAGAAGTAACAAATATTAGTTTTAATAAAGTAAAACTAATTTCCACTATTCAAGGTGTTGTCCAATTAGGTCATGGCATGGTCAACATTGCCTTGAATCTCTCCTGAGATAACTCAGAAGTCATAACATGTTTCCTAATCTTTAGCCTGATATAAATCAGATATCATAACAGAAAAACAAACTCAGCCCGACTGATGTCATACGATCCATGTCATGACATTTTGTATGACATTCAGCTTCACTTCCTCTTAGCTGACCAGCTTGCCCGGCTGAACACTTCTGCAGAATCTTAATCATGACAGTCATGGTTTCTCCAATCTTCTGCAGAATAATATTAGAAACAAGTTTCCTAAAAGGTCTCCAAGATCCTTTTATGAATACCAATACTATCTGTTCTTGTTCCTAATCCATCTCCTTGACATATCAACATGATCTCATCAATCCAAACCAGCTCTGTCAAGAGATATACACTGACAGCTCCTTCTGTTGTCATGCAATTATATCTTGCAACTAGGTCTTGCTTAAAACACATGACAACACACCACAAGTCACATTGTTGTGGTTGCGCACCTCACACTGCCTGTAAGGAACTTCATCACAACTTACCCTGTTGTGGTTGCACACATCACACTGCCTGTGAGGGACTAGGCTACTGCTACCCCACAGCAGTGCCTGTTGTGCCAGACAGCTATGTCATTACTTTGGTAATGACATCCATGACAGTTGTCCTTACTTCAGCCCCTGCTAGCTCTTGCTTGCCATAGTAGTGCCTGTTGTGCCAGACAGTTATGTCATTACTTTGGTAATGACATCCATGACAGCTGCCCTTTCTTCAGCCTCTGCTAGCTCGTGCTTGCTCTTGCTGCACTCGACCATTGATGTCAGCCTTTGCTGGCTCCTGCTGCATCCATGACACCAGTTATGTCATATGCTTTTGTTAGCTCCTGCTGCACCAGCTGTCACCCCATGACAGCAGTTCTGTTATTCATATGTCATTACTTTGGTAATGACATCCATGTCAGCAGTTCTTTCACCAACTCCTGCTTGCTCTTTTAGTGATGTCATAATTATGGTAATGACATCCTGTTTAACATTAGTGCAGAATCTTATTTTACCACAATTTAGTCAATCATAGAACCATGGACAATTCTATATCATAGAGCAATGGAACTAACAAAACTAGAAAATCACATCAAAATTCAATCAGGCCAAATCCGGAGATACGTCTCTAAAAACTAGTTCAGACGAAATTCGGAGATGCATCTTCGGATGAACTTGCGAGTTGCAGAAATGACATAAACCTCATTGATGCCTTAAATTCAACCAAATGGAAATGCGGGTTTATACTGGCTACCTATTTCGAATGTACTATTATCTATTTCGAATGTACTATTATCTAATGCATCTTAAACAACCTATGTCTCTTAAAACATCATTCAAATCTCAAAAATAAAATGAAACAATTTTTTTTACCAAATTAGAGTTGCGGATGAAAGCTTGAATGGAGTGGGTGACTTTACAACAATTGAAGTAGAATGACCTTGAAAAATGAACTTTAATAAACTTGCTTAAATGGAGTTTGAAAATGACTTTCCAGCAAAAGACCTCAATAGGGTTTTAGTGACTTTGTATCAAATGAAAAAGAAAGAGAGCAGGGTCTAGTGCAGGTTTATGAATAAAACGTGTCCAGAGATGCATCTTTGTAGAACTCTCTGAATTTTGAATAAGAATTTTTACGGAGATACATCTCCGTACTCACCCTAATATGTAAATGGAGATGCATCTCCGGATTAAATTTTAACAACAAAAAAAATGAATCACCAATTTATGCTGAAAAATATGTAAAAATGATGCGTTTGAAAATGCATTTCCAAATTCTAAAAATAATTGTGAGTTTTCATTGTGGTGGAGAACACCCCTATAAATGAAAAAAAAAAAAAAAAAAAAAAAAAAAAAAAAGAAAAAAAAACCCTCCAATAATAAGAGTTCAATCATCCTGTTAGGACTCTTCTCATAGCTTATAATCATAACAGAGTCATAACACATGTGACTTAATAGTTAGCTTTACACCTTGAGAGCAATTGCGCGAAATAGTTATGGTTCTAACCACTCCTTTCTCCTATGACTAATGTATAAATGGGATAGAATGACTAATGTATAAATGAGATAGAAAGTTAATCAGTATAGGAAAGAAATTCGTGTATTGAATTTATTAAAAACCTGCAATTAGTAATTTTATTGATTTTTTTGATAAATATTTTTTATTTGTGAATTTCTTAACATTAAGATGTGCTCCAAAAACATAAGTTAGCACTACCAAATTTATTTTGTAACCATGTCTCATTATTGAGGAATAGAAAAGATGAGAGCACAATACTCTCTTAATTTTTATGTGTTCAAACCCACATAATGAATATTTATATGACGATTGTGTGAGATTTAATATGGTATCAAAAGATTTTCTATTCAATTGTTGTGTTTTCAAAGTATATTTTGAAAATAAATCTATCAAACAAGTTTTTGACTGCTTTAGCTTAAACATTCCCTTTTCTATACTTCCTTCCATATTATACACCTCAAGGACCAATATGACTCGAGCTATTTTAAGAACTAATTTAATTTGGCCATTTACTCAAATATGATTTCAGATTGCGGTGGGGTAACAAACAGGCATGTCTAGATCATAAATTCTTGTAATCATATCCAAATTAAGCTAAGTTGATCTAATCATATCCAAATTAAGCTAAGTTGATCCAAACGGGGACTGAGAAAATAATTAAGCATTTAAAAAACTCAGTACACCACATCAGCACAGGTTAACATAATCCTCCAATTTTATGCAGTAAATAATACATTTACCGATTTTGCAGAATTAACTATAGTCATTGATCTCTTTAATTAAGGACTAAATAAATTAAACCTCCTTCCAGAACCGAATTGATCTATCAGTTCCACATGAAATAAAGGCGGACTCTACTGGAGAATGTTCAAGCCAGCGCGGTGCACCAACATGATTAGAAGGCCATTTTGCTACTATATCCGTTGTCATCGCATCCCAGATAATGACCTGCAAATGTACACTAGATTCTTAATATAAAATTCATTTTATAAAGCTAACATCACACAGTAGACAGCTAAACAAACCTCGTTATTGAGTTCATCTATGGATAGTATAAATTCTTCCGTCGCGTTAAAAATAGCCTGCAAAAAGAGTACGCAGAATAGCAACTATAAGAACATGGAAGGAAATGCTACTTGAATAGAGGATAGGGATTGTAGTTCTCTGTAAAAGGTGATAAGTGATAACTACTTTCAAATTGGCTTACCAGTATAGGCTTACACAGATAGGCATAGGCTTACCAGTATATGAAGTGGCTAAATCAAAAGCATACTAAATAGTAAATAAAGCCTATCAATGTACCTGAAATCTTAGTTGTGTATGTGCGGCACCGAGATATTGTTTGACTAATCTTCCAGAGCCAACCTCCCAAAGCTTTATGGTAGAGTCCTTCCCACAGGAGAGGACAAACCTAAAAACTAACAGTTATATTGATACAACAATCTAACCTTATCCAGAAAGTTCAATGTGTAAAAAGTTGGTCAATTAGCATTGGCCTTTACGTCAAAAGCAATTAACTACTGTAATTAAAAAATCCAGCAACATCGATCAAATAAAAGTAACACACAAGATCCTAATGTGTATAATGGTAATTAGTAAACATGGTCATTGCAGATTGTTAATTCTGGTTTGGAACTCCAATGGAAGCAACCACTTCAAAGTAGAGCAGTCAAAGTGAGCTCTGACCTGCATGTCAACCCAGGTCACCACAATAGGGTGTGTTGGCAAACACTGTTGGAGGAGTATGGTGGGATGGTAAACCGTAAGCCGTAAGCCAACCCAGTAGCCCGGCTCACCCAAACAGTGACTTATAATTTGTATAGTGGCACTATCATTCTCATGGTTTTTAACTGCATCAGTGTTCGTGTTAGCCTCTTTATCAAATATTTGCTCAAAAATGTATTTTACCTTTGATCTCTTGTGAAAATTGCACTGGTAGCTTCTGCTGTTGCATGTGCTGCAGTTATTGAGCGCACACAGTTGGCAGTGACGCCATCCCATAACCGAATAGCACCATCTTTAGATGCTGTAACATACATTGAACCTGTACAAGAATATCTAACCTACAAATCAGACAAGGAAACATTTGGATCACTGTGATGAAAGTAAAATAGTTAACGGTGTGTGAACAGAAGAGAATTGACATGCCTGGTTTATGGCTCCATTAGGGCTATTATCTGGAACATTTGCTGACAGATAACACTGAAAGGTATTTATATCATATAAATGTGGAATCGCATGATCAGTGCCTGTCAGAAATCGATATTAAACAACTTTGATATTGAGAAAATCAATGAAAAAAGCAAAGATGCTGATTGGAAGGTAATCTAGAAACAAAGATGGGTTTTCTACTTTTATATTCATATTATCAATAAGTCGCCCAATGGCATTCGATATCACAATGCTTATAATGAAGAAATAATACAAACTGCTGAGTTATTACCTAAACTCAGAAAAGTAAGAGTGGATTCACCGAAATATAAATCTCTAAGTATTGACGTATTGACACCAACCCGATACTAAATGGTGGGACAAGAATGCATAAATGGAGATTGCATTATGAAACAAAAGAATACGAAAAATGGAGATTGAATCCATTTTTGTAAGGAAAAAGACAATATTAGCATATTACTAACTAGATAGGTGTGATAAAAATAAATACCTGCCAACAGAAAGTCTCCTGAGGGGTGAAAAGATACAGAGCGAACATTGTGTGTGTCCTGCAAGACAAAAGTCAACATAAATGAAAGTTTATGCTTAATTCTTATTGTTGCTCATTTGTTGCTAGCATATAAATGTAGAACAGCACTACCTGGATAAGCCTGTATGATCTCTTGGCATTGGCTTTTGAAACATCAAAAAACCTAAAGGATATTAGACCAGTGTGTTAAATTGACAAGTTCTAAGAGCACTTTCAAAATATAAAGGACCGAAACGAGAAAAAAGAATACAGATGTGATGCATATTACAGAACCAAAATTAAATAAGTTAGTTTACTGCAAGAGATCATACCTTATTGTCTGATCTTTGGCTCCAGAAACCAGGATAGTACCTTGCGGATGAAAATCCAGATCATTTATTGGCTGCAGTTTTGTTAAATATATAAGAAAAGTCAGATATATGAAGACAGTTTCTAAGAATCATTTCATCAGGGTTACATTTCACTAAGTAAAAGCATAATGAATTATTACAAAACAAAAAATCTACCAAAGCTCATAAGTATAACAGCAAGTGTAACAATACAGGGAAAAAAACTCCACAATAACAGAGAAATAGAAGCTAGCACGTTGATATTCAAATGCTGTGTTTCTTCGATAATAAATAGTTTCGCATAAAAAATTCAACAGAACATAGAAAAGTGAAAATATACTTGTGTATGGTCATAATATGTTTTTAGAACAGACCGCACAGGACCATCCTTTGCATCTGGGAGCAATGTCTGCTTGATCTTTGAAACCTGCCAAATAAATTGAAGCATAAGTTTGAAAATTGTATCAAGAAAGAACAATACTTACATTTAGTCTAAATAATAAATCAGCACCTCAAATAGCTTTATTGATGTATCTGCACTTCCGGTGGCTACAAACCTTCCATCAGGACTAAACTTAGCACATCTGGCAACATTCTAGAAATTAAGCCAATTAGTTCAAAAATTAAGTGCTTATAGTAGGGTTTGCATGATATTTTGAAACTATAATGCAGGATAAGTGTATGTTATTCAAGCATATTGCATACCTTGTGTTCTGAAAGGTGTCGTGTCTCATGCTTTGGGAAACTCTTTGACGAACCTTTTAAATCTGCCAAAGAACTGTTACACCAAAACACAACTTTCAAGGGTGAAAATGTTTCCCCTATCCTGTTTTCTATATTAAATTGAAGGAACTTAAAAGTAGTATTCCAAGTAGCGTGAAACCAAAATAAAAGATAACAATATGATCATTTTGGAAGTATTTGTTAATCTAAAGATGGACTCAAATATGTAGTCCCACTTTCGTTAGATCAAATATTTGCTTTAATGAATAATAAAACAGGTAAAACAAACACACCTCCGAGTAAAGCCTATATCTAATATACAATGGCATATCCTTGTGTCCTAACAATCTTACATGCTGACTCTTTACTTTATTCATTTTCAATTAATAGAAATGAGTGTTATTCTTGATAAGCCCGAACTGCTTCTCCCTTACAAGTTTAAATAAAGATAAAGAAAAAAAATATGGAATTAAACTAAACAATAATTCTCCACAACAGCTATGGAACCAACTGTTAATCATTCCTCAGTATTCCATTCAAAACAAAACATATAAAACAGTAGTAAAAATTATGAAACACTATAGCTCTCAATGAAGGTACCAACAAATAACACCATAATATCAAGCATTTCTCAGACAGGCAAACTAAACAATGTTCCGTTAACTTCAAATGCAAAAGGAAAGTATCCAAAACAATAGAACAAATGTAAAATTATTGCCTGAAATCAATGGCTGTTGCACTGGGACGGGGCAAGGGCAATGATGAACCCAAATCTTGAAAGGGAGAAGACGAAGTCCCTCTTGACACATCATCCTTTTCCGCTGCAAGACCCTGTTATTTCTTTAGAACAAAAATGCTTCCTCATGCTCCCATTAAAGGGAAAGCATATATATTACACAAAAGAGAGGAGTAAACTCCTAAGTTCATATTTGAATAATTTTACTGCAAGACACATTAGTCCTCAAGAATGCCAAAAAAAAAAAAAACACTTTAGTCCCTAAGAACCTCAAATATAGCACCATACTAGTCCTTTTTAGGGATAGGGACTAAGCCATACAATCTACAGTGAAGAAGTCCTAGAGACATATAGATATATGATATGAGGATACAAGCAATTTTTTTTAAAATTAGGAAACTATACGATCTGAATAAAATGAATGGAGCAGAGCAGAGTGGAATATAGCGGAATGAAGTGGAGCGGAGCAAAGATTCAATTCCATCGTTTGGAAATTTTAAGATGGAACAAGGCAAATTCTTCATTCCGACAAAATCAGGGGGAAGTAATAAGATGGTAAGTGTTGGAATGAAATGGGATCTATACAACTCCATTCCGTTCCACTTTAAAATGATCCAAACAATGGAATACCACTCCATTTCATCTCATACTGGACTGCTCCAACCGATTTCATCAATCCAAACAAATCAAAATAAGTGTAAAGAAAAAGACATAAGCATTCATCAACATTATATAATTATGATAATCATAATTCATAACCCAAAATAAAATAAAATAAAATACTTATAAATTTATGATCGAAACAAAAAGATAAAGATTCTGCCTATAGCATAACCACCACTATAACCAATATAAATAATATATATATGAATAGAGGGGCTTTTTGCAAGAACCTTAGCAACCAAGTCAAGAAGCTTGTTGGATGGGGCTTCTACATTCAATGGTGTCATTGTTGCAGAAGCAACAGCAGTAGCAGCCTGAAGTGAAAAAAAAACATTTTTTTTAATTGTTTTCACTTAAAAAATTTATAATTCTTGTGGAGTTAATGAAGAAATGGTGGGAACCTGAGTGAGATTGCTGTGACGAAGGTGAGCGACGATAAGAGAATTGAGGTGTCTGAAGAGTTTGCCATCTTGCAGGGTTTGGTCGGAGCTACTGTTTTCCATCAATGATTCCTTACTGCAGAAAGGAAAGGAAAGGGGCCAATGTAGAGGAAGAACCCTAGAATAACTGAATGAGAATCTAAGGAATTGCTTCTGGAACTGTGTTTCTCAATTGTTTTGCTTCCGTCACCTCACTAGTAAGTTTCAGGGAGTCACTTGTCCTCAAAATGGTAAATGTAAGGTGTACTTTTTAAAACAAAAATATTATTCCATAAGTAAAAGAAAATGAGAAAAAGGATAACATTAATTTTACATTTTCAACTTCAATGATGATAATATATTTCGCTAAATTGATGATAATGAATTCGGCTAAATTAGAATGAAAATTTTAAATTATTTATATAATATAATAGAGTGATATATTTTTATTGAATCATAGTATAAAACTTTTTTATATTTTTCGTGTATTTTTATTAAATTTAAAGAAAATATATTTCGAATAAGAGATTAATTACTATGTATTGTGAGTATAAAAAGTTTTACACTATCAATTCATCATCATCATTTGTTTATGTTGTTGAATATAATTCACCATTCAAGATTATTTTAGTTTTGAGTTTCATTTACATTTAAGTTTAATATGCATTTGCATTTCAGTTGCACTTAGTGTGCATTTGAGTTTGCGGTATTATAAAACTCAAAGTTAGTTGGAGATTTGTAACAGAATTGTGAATTTGCGTTTGAAGAAATTCTCTCTCTCTCTCTCTCTCTCTCTCTCTCTCTCTCTCTCATCTACATTCTTTCATCTTCATTTTCTTTAATTCTTGTACATCAATTGAGGTTTATTGTTGAACTTCAACAATTGGTATCAAGAGCTTCAGTTCTAATTCTTGGGAAACACAAGTGGACTGAGGTGTGCGATTGATTTTGTTCCTGAAATTCGTGTTGAGTTGAAGTTTGAAATCAAAGAGAATCACACTATGAGTGCACTAGTCTCTTAGATATGTTTTTAAATAATGTCAAAACTAGGTTCACATAGTTCTTTGTGAATATTGGACTTATTGTCTATGTCTAGATGTGCATCATTATATTATGTCATTTAAAACATATTAGATTAGCCATTATAAGTTAAAAAATTATGATTTATCATGCATAACAAGTCTATGAGTCAACACATTTAATCTATGAGTCAATGCATAATGAAGGATGGTCAAAAACACCTCCATGCCATGTTTGAGTCAATACATGTCATAAATAAATTGACTCATTTTGAAAGTTTTTTTTTTGCAAAATGATGTTGCCTTTTATGTATTGATACAAAGGCTTCTTGAGTTAATACAAGTTGTGAATGAGTCGGCTTATCCATGGTTGGAGTCGGCTCAAACTGAAAGCATTTTTTTTAAAGTAGCTCTGCCCTCTATAAGTCGATACACATCGCGATTAAGCCGACACATAATGCGAATGAGTGAACTCATCATGTCTTGGAGTCGACTCATACTAAAGCAATTTTTAATGCACATTTTTCTACCTTTGATGTATTGACTTATTATGGCTTTGTATTTACTCGTTAGTCTTATGTATTGACTCATTTGAATTTGAAGTCAACACATCATGTTTGGAGCAAATACATGTATTGACTCAATTTTTTCAAAACTTGTAATTTTGGCTAAGAATAATTTGTTTTTGTTGTTATTTTTTCACACACACACACGCACACGCACACGCACACGCACACGCACACGCACACACACACACACACACACACACACACACACACACACACACACACACACACACACACACACACACACACACACACACACACACACACACACATGCATTCATGCATCATTTTCCAACATTGAAATTAAGAATACAATTATAAATTTCTCATCATCTTCAACCTTTCTTTACATGCATTCAACAATTACACATTATCATTTTTTTTGTTTGTCATTAAGATAAGATTGATAAGGTCCAATTTAGGTTGGTGTAATCAAATTGGGTTGAGTTTTTCTTTGGGGATTTCATTGATAAAACCATTAGGGTTTTTCCTCTAAGATCAAAGGTTGGTTTGTGGGTTTTGCACATGTCTTTGCAACTTGGATTCAGCCGAGTAAAGGCTTTGAAAAATGGGGGTTCTTACGAAGGAATAGTGGTAACCTGAGAATCAATTGAAAGACTTGGGGCAAGATTTCACAATTTTGATTCAGCCAAGTGAAAAGTTTAAAGAACGAAGGTTCAGTTAAAGGAGTAGCGGTAATTAGAGAATCAAATTAGAGGTCTTGTGTGACTTGATCTTGCTAATATCAAGGGAAGAGAAGAAGTTAGGATCAATATCAAACATAGGGTTTGAATTGCTACTACTTCTCTTGTAAATTGATATTGCAAAGGTTAATTATAATATCTCAATTCAATTTTGAATTTAGGATAGACGTACCCATAGTGAGGACAATTGGGGAACTGCCTAAACAAATATTGGTTCTCTCTCTCTCTCTCTACATTTTGATAATACTTAGTGTGTATTTTGAATTTTCTAAAAATTTTGGTTGAGTTGAAGTGTGTTAAATTGTTCTGTGAAGCTATTGCAATCTAAACCATTGCAATTGATTTGATGCATCTTCAACTCACAGAGAATTAAGCTTGGTGTTTTACACACCAAGTGTTTCATATTTTGACTGCGGGCTAAGTGTTCGATAAAATTCATTTATCAAGTTTAATTTCACATTTCATTGGAAACATTTATCTTAGTGTGGTTTATATTCAAATAAATTATATTAAACTTTTTGGTTTACTTTTCTAATCTTTAACATGCTTTTACTACGATTTATATGCATATTCGATTCTACCAATAATTGTTCAGATATATGAGAGTCAATCCAGATTCGCTTCTGCTTGCCATAGAAAAATATTTTTCAAAACAGAATTTTAATAAGTAATGTTTTATTTGGTAATCTATTCAACCTCCCCTTCTAGATCGTTGCCCTCATTTAACACACAGATCTTGATTCTCAAGGTTTGGGAAATACGAGTGTTGATGAGAACTGAGTGATTTGCACAAGAATAAAGATGAAAGGCGAAAACAGTAGCTTGAACATAAAGCTTCCAATATTCAACGAAAAGAATTGGATCGGTGGTCAATTCAGATGCATGTGTTGTTTGGAGCCCAAGATGTTCTTAATCTCGTCGATGACGGTTATATGCTGGTTGTAGAAAATGCAACAAAAGCGCAAAGAAATATGCAATGTGAAATAAAGAAGTAGGATCAAAAGGCGTTGTTCTATATTCATCAGTGTGTAGATACGAAGGTGTTTGAGAAAATTGCTTATTCGACGATGACGAAGGTGGCGTGGGATACACTAGTGTGGTGCTATGATGGTGACACATCATTGAAGAAGGTCAAGTTGTAGTCCCTACACAAGAAATATGAGAATCTCAGCATGAAGAACAATAAGAAGGTGTCTGGTTACATCTCTAGAGTGATTGTGGTCATGAATGAGATGAAGTCATATGGAGAAGCACTCTCTGAACAAGTAATTATTGAAAAGATACTTAGATCAGTTACTCTTTATTTTGATCACATAGTTGTATCCATAAAACACTCTAAAGACACCAGTATCATAATTGAAGAACTTCATAGTAGTTTAGAGGCACAAGAGTTGCGTCTGACTGAAAGAAACTCTGAAAAGGAACAAAACAGACCCTGAAAGCTCAGACTTTGAAAGCTTCTTATGGCAAGAAGAACCAGAAGCAAGCATGGCTAAAGAACAAGAAAACATATGATGGTGTTGTTCAGAAATTAGAACTTTTAAATTCTGATAAGAAACATCAGAATGTTCATAAAGGGAAAGGAAAATTTTAACAAGAGAAAGGTTAAGTGCTATAGTTGCAACAAGTTTGGCCATTTTGCTACTAATTGTTGGTCAAACAAGGTTGGGAAGGGTAAAGAGGCCAAGATAGCCATAACGGATTTATGATGAACTCATGTTATTGGTGGTATATGGACACTGTCTGCTCAAATCACCTAACTGGAAACAAGGAATGGCTGATTGACTTTGACTCTGATAAAAGGACCAAGATCATATGTGATAATGATGAGTATCTGAATGCTAAAGGAATGGTAAATGTCATAGTGAAATTGAACATTGGCAAAACTATACTGATTAAAGATGCATGGTATGTTTATGGCATGATTTGATGAGCGTGGGTCAGCTGATTGAAAAAGGATTTTCAGTAACCATAAAGGATAATCTTTTAAAGTTGTATGATTATGCAATATGAACTGGGAAGAAATTAGACATCCAAAAGTGAATGTTGTAACAGTAGACATTCAATTCCTTAGTGCAAGAAGTGTTGAAGGAGAAAGTGAGATGTGGCACAAGAGATTGGGGTATCTCAACTACAAAAGCTTAGGGCATCTGAGTTCAAAGAATATGGTACATGGAATTTCTAAAATTATTGCACCAGAGAAATCATATGATATATGAATGAGAGACAAGCAACCAAGATTGCCATTATAATGAGAAATGCATCCAAGAGCAACTCATACTTTGGGTGTGGTCCATTTTGATGTATGTGGGACATTTAAGGTACCTTCACTTAGAGAAAACAAGTACTTTATGTCATTTATGGATGAGTTCACAAGAATGACATGTGTGGCACTCATTAAGTTCAAATGTGAGTTATTTTCTAAGTTTAAGAAGTTCAAGGTGAAGACTGAAAATCAAAGTGGACAAAGATTGAAGATCCTCAAAACTGATGGTGAAGGTGAGTTCAATTCAACAGAGTTTAAGAAGTTCTATGAGGAATATGGTATTAAGCATGAGGTGACTGATCCATACGCTTCACAACATATTGGTCTTGCTGAAAGAATACATAGAATTATGCTTGACATTACAAGGAGCATACTGAAGGAGACGAGTCTACCTAAGCAATTGTAGGAAGAAGCAATTGTCGCATCAGCATATGTGTTTAACAGATGTCCAACAAAGAAGTTAAATAAAGTAATTCCTATTGAGAAATGGATTGGAAGAAAGAAGAGTGTTAGGCATTTCAAGGTGATT